TCAAAGGGTATATTTTGAAAATTTGAAAAAAAATGAAGGACAAAATAGTCACAAATGCTTATTTTTTAACTTAAGCATTCCCAAACATGGCCTAAATAAACAATAAGTGGTGATTCAATGAACACGATCTCAATGAGTAAACCCTAACTACGATACCTTGTTCATCAATTATTGGTTCCAAATATATGTAAATATATTTTTTTAATGTATTAGAAAACATGAAATATTGTTCTTATAAACAAAGGGGCTGTGACTTGTGTCCAATGTCAATTGTTTTTCGAGTTTGAAGAACAAATAAAGCCGATCTGATTTGAAATCAAATTGGTTCTTCAAACATAAACATGAAAACTATGTATTTGATGATTTGACATATATTTAAAAAAAATTAAACAAAAAAATTATTCTTGAATTTCTGATTTAATGGTAATAAAGGATTCCGTACTCTTCAATTCATATGCATATAAAAACAAAACTTCTCAATTATCGTTTATAACTCGATGGTTGCAGAATTAGCTGAATGTTTTAATCGTTTAACGGGTTATAGAATCAATGATAAAGTTCCACACCATTAATAAAATACATGAGACCACCTACTAAACCTTGCTCGGCTGAAGAATGAAGGACGGTGGATAAGAGACACCACATCACTGTTAGATAAGTTTGGATAGAAATGTAACTTGTCCCAAAGTTTTATTTATTTATTTAACTTGTCGCAAAGTTAATATTCAACAAAAGCAGCAGCCCCCATAACATATAAGAATATGCAGCTATCAGCCTACATCTATCAGCTAGAACTAGAAGGGAATTAAGTAATAGAAATTCATGATTGCATGGATAATTGGATATAAGTCAGTGCTGTTTGCACTTATTGGGATGCATAAGTCACAGCTCAACCGTAGAAATAAAGTATTCTTATTGAAACAATTCCATTAGATAGGTGTCAGACTGCATTGGAAACTGACAACCATTTGAGTTTCTTCACTTATCTTTGTTAGGGATAGAATAGCTGGAGTTCTGCAGCACAGAGACACAGATCTGTGAACTTATTTCCTTGCCTTGGCAATCCTTTTTGGTTGGGCCTACCATAGCCCAATGTCCAGTAATAGTTGGACTTTTGCAGGGATTTAAAAAAAAAAGAAAGAAAGAAAGGTTTTCCTGATAGAGGGAGAGGGAGAGAAAATAAATAAAACAAACATAATGGTAAAGTAGAAAGCTGTCCGAGTTGATAGGTTTATACCCTGTTTTTACTTTCAAAGAACACTCAATTTGAATCCTAGAAAACTTAATTCTATTCTCTCATGTCTCTGAATAGATGGATATCCTCATAATTCATCACCCACCCTCATAAATAATACATAACCAGGAACATCATTGTCCACCAAACTTTGGGCATGTTGGTTGGGTGTAGTTGAACCAATCAGCATTTATTTTAATTGTTTGGGTCTAGTCTTTACTGTGGACCTGTTAATATTGTTCTTAGTATCATGAGCAGTGATAAAGTAGACTAAAATGTCTTCTAAGCAATTATTAAAATATTGATACATTCAATATCCAAATATGGGTATCGATACATATCATATGGTTGATACCTATGTTTTTTATTTTTTATTTTTATTTTTATTTTATAATAATTAAGGGTTAGGAAAGAGGTCTGAGACCTTTAAAATATTTTAAAAAAAATGTGCATCGTGTATCCAAGTATATTTGGATATACTAATACCAATATAATATACCCAATACAGGAACTACGATATTTTAATCCTTGCTTCTAAGTATTCTCTCTATGTGTGTGTTCTATCTCTTTGTTTGGCTATATGTGCTAGATAGATCTTGTTCTTCGTGGACCTTTTAAATCACACTAGGACAAAACAGAAACAGGGGATTGAAAGCCTTTAGGCTAGCATTTGAAAACTCTTATACAAGGTGAAGGGGTCCCTCATCTAAGAATATATACTTTCTGACTGGTAAATAGGGCTACGTGATCTCTATAGGAAAAAGAAAGAAAGAGAAGGGAAAACTGGAAATCAATGCCAAATTGCCACTTGCCAATAGCATCATGAAGTTATTCATTTGTCTTCTTCGTAAATTGCCAAAACCATCTTAACTAGTTTCTCATTTATTTCATCACAACCCACGGGGCTCCCCTGTTGCATCTGTTTCTACCTTTTAGTCTTGTCACATGATTAAGGGTCCCTTTGGTTTGTGAGAATAGGGGTTTAGAATTGGAATCAAAATTGTCCATTCTGATTCCAACTGTTTGGTTGGACAGTCAATTCTGATTTCAATTTTGATTCAGATTTCAATCTGAACCAAACAGGTGAGGGGAATAGATCATTTTGATTCCAATTCCAAGGATTTCAATTCCAACATTGAACTAAATGGACCCTAAAGTTCTCCTATCCTGGATTCATAATTCATATGGCTGAAGTGTTTTACAACTATGGTGTTGTTTGGGCCCAAACAATTACTTTTAATTTTAAAACCTAACATTTTGTTTTTTTTTTTCCTTCTTGTTGAAGAATCCAACTATATATATATCATTTTTAATGGGTCTTCTATTCTATATAAGTCTCTTGTGTATTATGGGAACTATGCACAATAAGGTCTCAATTCATAAAAATTATTAATTTTTATAATATTATTAATTAATTAATTAAAAATGCATTAATACAAAAAATGCATTAATACAAAATTATAAAATTAATTAATTAATTAAAAATGCATTAATACATTAGAACATGGGTTCTATTTGCAATATATCAAACCCATATTAAATCATATTTTATTAAAACTATCAATTAATATTATTTGTATTTAAATTTCTTATTTTTATTAGTGCTTACTAAGTTTGAATTTTAAGAGTGAAATTGAAGTATTTTTAATTTTTATTAAGTTTTGTTAATATTTATTAGTTTTAAGTGGGATTGTAGTGGATTTTTAAATTAATAATTTTTAAAATAATATTTTTGTTTTTGTTGTTTTATGTTTGATTGTTTAACCTCAACCTATTTATATTATTTGACTTTAGTATTTTTTATTAATTTTAAAGCCCTGTTGCCCACATTATGTATAGGCTTGATGAAGATCTGAGCTAGACCTATCTTAAAAGAAAATTTTTGCTTAAGCCCAAAGTTGGGAAGTTATAAATGATCATTCCTAAGTAGGAGTCTTATGACAATATTTTAATTAAATTTTATAATTTTTATATGCAATGCAAATGGTTTATTTTATTATTTTCATAATCTTTATTTTTTATTATTGATTTTAATTACCCTATTAATATTAATTATATTAAATAAAATTAAATTTTATTTTAATTTTTTAACTTATGAACTACTATTTTTTATTAATTTCTTAACTTTTAATAGTTGCTAGATAAAATCTTGCTAAATAAAAACTTTTATTAATATAGTTGCTAGATAAAAACTTTTAATAGTTGATGGCCCTAATACCAATGAATCAATTATAGCTTTACTATATTCTCCTCTCCCTCTAATGATAAACCAAATATTTATAGATTTATAAGCAAACACAAACATGAAAGTGCTTCCCCAGGGAGACAGGTCACTACTACCAAAAAAAAGTTCGGTTTGTGTTTCATCTAATTCATGAACACAACCTGCTCCTATGTGTTATTTGTATGATTTTGCTTTGTAGCTTTTTCAACAATGAAATATGATTTTTCATGTAAGCATGAAATGGCAGTTACATATGGTGTGTCTAAGTGTTTCACACACCAATATGGCCAGTCATAATGTCTCTTATTTGATTAGATGCTAGAGTGAAAGTACATGAACATATGAGTCATATGATCAATGTTCACATGTCATTGTTCAAAAAATGAATCATGAACAGAACCTCTTTTGCGTTGTGTGATTCCAAAAATGTTATGTACATATGAATCATATGATTGGTATGGTTCTAGAACCATACCACCAACAAAAAATAAGACAAAATATATGGCTCAAGTCATAATGTCTCTATTTTCAAAGTACATGTACATATGAATCATATGATCAATGTTCACATGTCATTGTTCAAAAAATGAACCACGAACGGAGCAACCTCTTTTGCGTTGTGTATTTCCGAAAAAAAAAAAACTGTTATTTTCAGCAAACCAAAAACTAAGACAAAACATAAAGGTGAGGTCCTCACAACAAAAATGGGTTCAATTGGTAATTCTTCTATTACAAGATGGGAGTTGTGCATTTGGCTGCCTAATAAGAAATCATAAAGGCGAGGTCATCACAACAAAGATGGGTTTAATTGGTAATTCTTCTATTGCAGTGACAAGAGGTTGGCTGCATTAGAAGCTCACAAACTTGCTTTACAGGTTAGAGATGTTGCACTTTCATCACCATTTAAAGTGTTGCAAGACAAAATCAAGCCATCATGGAGATGCAAAACAATGCTGGAGGAGTGCAAGAGGCTGGTTCAAGAGTTCAACCTAAATGTGGAATACAGGCATGTTCACAGAAAGGGAAATCAAGCTGCAAATTAGCTGGATAATTGAGGTCACCAGAGTGAAGAAGCTTCAGGCAGTTTGAGATCTTGGGAGCTGGATTTTATAGCCTTTTTGGATGCTATGAAGAGATCCCTCCCCACGCTGGTTTAATTCCTTTTCATTCTACCAATAAATAAATAAACAAAACAAAGTTCAGAAAAGCCATTTCAAGTGCCTAAGTCAGCCCTGTACCAAGATGTCAAAGAAAACGGATGCAAGGTCTTCAGTAAAGGTGCATCAGGAAGTTTTAATCATTTTATTGTATGTTTGCCCAACCACCAACCTGTATTGTTGAAATGGCAATAGGTGAGACCCAGGAGACAAGGTGATCGGCCATATATAAAGATGAACAGAAAATTATGAGTAAATCAGCTACAAGTGTTTATATAGTGATTACTCATTGAACTTATTAAAATCATATATAGGGCCTGCTAACAGGCAGGCATTTGCCCTGCATTTGAGTGGTGACAAGTTGAAAGCACTGCAGCTGAATTCACTGTTGAATTTGAGTTCATGTTTGCTTACTCATCCACGGGTAGAGTCAGTAAAGAATACAAAAGAAGATTAACCTTTAAAAAATCTCCAAAGAAATGCATCTTCTGAAATTTGTAAGGAAACAAATGAGGAGAAATGTCTTGTACAAGAGAACAAAACATACAGCAGCCTCTATAACCACATACCTCACGCTATTATATTCATTTTGGCAGCATGGAAACTAGATTCTCAACATAAAAGCCTAAAGCCTTAGTAGTGTCATCAAACAACTAGAAGCACTAGTTTCTTGCCAATTTATTTACCAACCTCTACAAGAATTTCTCGATGCTAGCAATCAGAGAACTTTTGGGCACAACACCAATAATCATGTCTTTCTTCTCCCCATTCTTGAAGATCATGATGGTTGGGATGCTTCGGATCCCATATTGAGTTGCAAGTGAATGGCACTCGTCGGTGTTCAATTGAAAGCATTTCAATCTCCCAGCATATTGCTTTGATATCTCACCTATTATGGGGTGGATCATGCGGCATGGCCCACACCACGGCGCCCAAAACTCAACCAACACAGCTTGGTCAGTTTCATGGATAAGTGGCTGCCACGTTGAATCTGTCACGGCAGGCACTGCATCACCCAGAGGGGGTTCATTCATTTCATATATTAAAAGAATTACACTAAAAGATGTGCATAAATAGTTTGGATTAAGATGGGATTGAGTTGAGTTGAGTAGTAAAATGATGTATATAAATAACCAAAGTTTCTAACTGAAATACATCAAGATCAGTAAGTGAACATGTATGTGATATGTTGCAAAATGTCAATACTGTTGATGTCACAGATTGACAGTGGACATTTACTTGAACAAGCATCAATCAACCCCCCAATAAATTAGTGAATGAATTAAGTAAAGTCATGAAATTTGACGTCCTTACAGCCTTTAAGAATAGAAAGTCCAAAACTAAATGGATGTTCACACCTTTGCCATCCACCTGTGCTCTTACTCTATTCCTCACTGTTTATTTTGAGACCTTTTCTTTTAGTTTGTTTTTGTTTTGAATCTTTTGATGTCTTGGGTAGGCAGATTTCCTTTATCTGCATTCCGCTTCAGCAATTATCTATTATCTCATGACAAAAGGTATATACATTAAGGTGCAAGATGTAAATACCATCTATTTTCAGAAACCTTGCCATGCCAATTCAATGAATTAAATCTAAGGACAAATGGTAGTCTGCCATTGGAATTAGATTCCTACTTTCCTAGTAAAAAAAAAATGAAGAAATTACAGGATGTCCTCAAAGGGTATTAAAACACACATGAAAAAAAATGTGCAAACGGCACTTTGCAGAATCTTTGTGAAGTTTTCTTGTTACCAAAGGGATATTTACTACCCCTGATAAATGAAGACAACATAGACAAATACGCTAACTTGACAGTGCTTCTGCTGCTGATGATGACTATTGTGCATGCATATAGGAAGTGAAGACAGGGGCAGAGCATCCAGGAAAACAGGGGTTTTCCTTCAAAAAATTGACTTGACTGTTTCTGTGGTTTCTGAACTTATGAAATCTTATATGTTGTAACTTGATACTAAACTTCTTTTGCTTCTTCATGTCATTGCCTTTATCCTGTACTTGGGCATTTGTTTCAAATCCTCCCATGCTTTTTGTTCCCTTAAAAGATTTCTTTTTCATATTTTTTTATGGGGGAAGGGCTAGTAAACATTATTGTGGCAAGAACAATTTATTTCTTATTTTCAACAATAAAAATGTGATAGTAAATCAATGGATCTCAATGTCTTAGGTTTTTTTAATAAACTTCTTAATTGTTAACAATACCCATGAGGATTACCCTTGGAAGCCAAATGCCTAAACATGGCAAGAAGATCTTGATTTAACCAATCCTAACCAACTGAAACACCTAACTAGTCATAATTCCCTTCTTTACATAAAAAGGAAAAAGAAAACAAAATAGCAATACAAGTGGAAAAATTCATATTTCTATCCTTTTTCATATAAAGGAATAAGATCAAGGTCATTAATTAATGGATCTTGATAAGGCCTGATGGACATGAGATAAGTTGCATAATTTTAATAGAGAACCAGTAAGGCTTAAGTGGGTGCAACCAAGCTTGCTCAAAATCTTTAAGTGATCTTATGGTTGTCACCACAACTGCAACATATAGGTGCCTTGTGATAGATGTTCCATCTATTAGTGTTTCTCTCCCTTTACTTTAAGCTATTAACTCTTTCTTCTTTCCCAACTAGTTGTTTGGCTTGTTGTGACTTGCGAGTTGTTTCTTCAAGGTCATTATTTGCATATTTCTGAATGTGTGTGTGTGTGTGTGAGAGAGAGAGAGAGAGAGAGAGAGTCCTCAAGTGGTCTTTCCATTCTCCCCCAGTATACAAACATACTGTACTAAGAACCTAATAGTTTACCTCAGACAGAGCCAATATAATTGTCCCATAAAGCCCTCTTCCTGCTAGTTGATCTAGGTCCAAAAGCCATCCAGCCCCAAAAATCCGAGTCACCAGGATTATTTAAGAGTGCAACCATCAAAGTTTACTAGTAGAAATTAGAATTATGAGTACATTTGTAGAGGGAGCTATGCCTGAAGGCCGAATCCTCATTTCTTCTTGTAAAAGATGAAACTACAACCTACAGTTTGTCATCCTCTCAAAAACGTCAAGATGTGAATCGGACAGGGAAGAAGATGATGAGAGAAGAAGAGAGGAGGAGAAGAGAGTTCGATCAGTTCTCTATTCTTTCTCCTAATCAGTTGTATTAATCTAATCTCAATGGAATAATTACAATGATGCCCTTAATGGAGCATCCAGCTCATAAACATAACTCAAAACAATAAAACAAAATAGTTAACAAACCCAACCTCTCTACACTCCCCCTCAAGCTGAGCATAGATGTCAATCATGCCCAACTTGCTTATATAATGTAGTAGCTTTCCTTTTGGAACTTCCTTCGTCAAGACATCAGCTAACTATTCTTCAGAAGCAATAAATGACAAGCAAACTTCCCGTGAAACTCCATGGGCCACCGCCTTGTACTTTGCCTCAGCAAAAAATCTAGCGACCACAAACTACTTCTTACTCCTCCGTGAACAATGTTCCCTGCCACCATAGCACAGTAATCCGAGATAGATCTCCTGTCAGCAATACATCCAACCCAGTTTGCATCCATATATGCCTCTAGTTTCATATGTCCATGTTTAGTAAAAAGAACGCCTTTCCCTAAAGTCCCCTTTAGGTAACAGAAGACCCTCTTAGTGACTGCCATATGTCTCTAGGAGAATGTGTGAACTAACTAATGACACTCACTACACAAGAAATACTCGGTCGAGTTATACAGCAATACAATAACTTCCCAAGCAATCTCTAGAACACTCCCTTATCAACCAACAATTCACCATCAATGGTCGAGAGCTTGTGATTTAAGTCTATAGGTGTAGAAGCAGGCTTAATACCAAGTTTGCCAATCTTGGTAAGAAGATCAAGGACATACTTGCGCTAAGAAATGAATATACCTTCCTTAGACTGAGCAACTTTTATTCCTAAAAAATATCTAAATTCCCTAAATCTTTGATAAACTCAATGTTAAGAAACTTTTCGTGGGAGAACTTCCTGTGCATCATCACCAGTAACTACAATCTCATCCACACAAACAATAAGAAAGGTCACCAAAGAGGCTCTCCTCTTGACAGAGAGAGTATGATCCTATTGAGTTTGTGTGTATCCAAAGGTAACAAGAGTAATACAAAACCCTTCAAACTAAGCTCTAGGAGATTGTTTGAGACCAAAACAGACTTGTTCAATTTACACATGTTCCCTTGCATTTCTCTCCCATACACTCATGGAAGCAAAGACATATAAACCTCCTCATGCAAATCTCCATTTAAGAAGGCATTTTTGACATCAAATTGATAGAGTGCCTAGTCAAAACTAGTAGCCAAGGATATGAGAACCTGAACTGAAAACATTTTAGCCACAGGAGCAAAGTTCTCCAAGTAATCAATACCATACATTTGAGTGTAACCTTTAGCAACCAAACGGGCCTTAAACCTCTCAATAGTACCATCAGCATGGTACTTAATGGTAAATACCCATTTACAACCGACAGGTTCCTTCCCCTTAGGTAAATCCATAATTTCGCAAGTAATATTCTTATGCAAAGCATCTATCTCAGTCATCATAGCATCCCTTCATTCTGGTTTAGATAAAGCTTCTGAGACAGATTTGGGATAGCTTGTGTAGAAACAAAGGCTAAGAAGGAATAGTATGTTGGAAAAAGAAAGTTGTAGGACAGGTGTTTGGAGATGCAATGGATTGTACACTTTTGTTTCCCTTTTCTAAGGGCAATAGGAAGGTATAGGTTTGGGAAGTTGTCGGTGAGAGCAAAAGAGGGATAACCTATTATCTCATTAGTGATGGGAGGTGAAGAGGCTCAACTAAAGGTGTGGAAACAACTTGTTCATGTTTGAGCTGCCTTTGGTACCACCTTTGAACAATGGGATGAGAGATCAAAGTATGAGGATGAGAAGGAGGAGGAGCAAGAATATGTGAAGAAGACTCAACAGAAGAAGCAAGTGACTCAACTGAGGTCTAAATAGGAATGGGAAAAAGAATAGTTGGGGACTCTACAAATATTTCCACTAAATGCTCACCCTCGAAAAAAGTGCAAAAGAAATGCATGGACTTTGCAAATGTGACATCCCTAGAAACAAAGCGGGTGCCACGAACCGGATCAAACCAGCAATATCTCTTTTGTGTGGAGGTATATCCTAGAAAAATACACTTATGAACCTTAGGTTCAAACTTATGCCTTTGGTGGCTATGAATATGAATATAGCAAGTACATCCCAAAAACGCAAAGAGGAAGAGAGAAAAGGTCCTCATCGAGGAAAAGAAGAAGAAGAAGAAGGGAGGAGGAGAAGAGAGTTCGATCAGTTCTTTCTCCTTTCTGCCAATCAATTTTATTAATCTAATCTCAATGGAATAATTACAATGATGCCCTTAATGGGGTGGCCAGCTCATAAACATAACTTAAAATAATAAAAAAATGGTTAACATGTCCATATGGACAAGGCCCATAAACATAAGCATAACAAATAAAAGAAGTCAAGATAATAAGAGACTAGGGCCCATTCGGCCCAGTCTCTCTACAAGTCATAAATGCTAAATATCATAAAGTGTTCTCTAGTTCTTATGCAATGGAGAACTCATCTAGAGATAAGCTTGACAAATTTCAACAATTTCCTCTTAATTTATGTTGATTGCTTAAAAGATATTCAAATTCACTTGAAAATAAAAAAAAAAGGATATGCTTGTTGGTCAGCTACCAAAAAGTCCTCAGCTTTTCAGTGTTAATAGTGTTGGCATTGGTAATAATGTAATATTGTACAGCATCTTGATTTTACTTATTACACTTTGGTTTCCCTAACAATTATGAGAAAAAGGTAATGGTTAAATGGAACCCAGGAAGCTAATTGTAATTTAATTATGTTAGCTATAATAGAAGTTGAGAAATACAAAAATCATTAAAAAACAGCAAAAGGAGATTTGGAAAAGATCTTCACCTCAAAAGCTTGTCCAGGGTGACAAAAATGATTAATAGTTTATGCCCTGCTATTTTAGAGTCTTCATGTCCATATTTTCTCACTTCCTTGTCTGTGTTGTTCTGATCTTTACAATCAAATTGGAGCTCAAGTAAAGACGATAGAAAAGACAGAAACTAAAAATGGCAAACATGAGAATGTAGAAGAAACGGGGGCAAAAGCCAGAATCAGGCAGAGCTTCTAAATCCCAAAATATCACATAACGAGTCATGCAAAATCCTCAGTTTGGATTATGCTCTAGGAAATAGCTCAAAACTAAACAAGAGCTTAAGCTCTAGTTAAACTAAACAAACCACAAATACAGTGCTAGTGTGCTACTAAACCTAGCTGTTTGAGGTTCAACAGCTAAGGCTACGTTCTGACTTTCATTTTTGTGAGTAATCCATGAATTGTTTCAAGATTTACTTAAATGAGGTCGTTGATTACTCAATTGAGTTATCTCAATGACTAATCTAAGATACAAATAAAAAGCATATCCTCACTATGGCATTTGACCAAATAGTAAAACTCCATTCGCTTTCAAAAACTCAATGAAGCTACTAAACAATGATTAACTAATACCTCTGAACTGTTTTCAGTTTATAACCAAAACACAAGCTCCTTCGCGCTCAAACAATATTAGCTTCATCTGAAGGACCCATAACTGTAAATTATAAACCAAATGGATTTTCAGTAATCGTGACAACAGACAACCATCAGAACAGAATCACCCAAACTCCTGAAGTTAACTATCTTTATAAGAAACCAATCACGAAGTTAAGCTATCAATTCAAGTGAGCACAAAAATGGCGGGAAAGGTAGAGACCAACCGTGTAGAATTGTGTTCTGAGCCTCGCAGACGACTCTTCCTCTGCATCGTGTAATCCCCCCACTCGTCGTGCTTACCGAGGCTGACGTGCTCCTCAGAGGACGCGATTGAATCCTCAAGCCTTTAAATTCCGGCAGAATACCGACTTTAGGACTGCTAGAAGTAGACGAAACCGATGGAACCGTCGGTGACGGCGAAAGGGTTGAAAGGAAGCCGGAGCAACGAGGAATAGTCATCGATTCCAGTACCGTAGTCATGGATATAGAATAAAAGAGAATATCGAATTGGTTGAATAGAATCAGAAAGAGAAAGATTTACAGAAGCGTCACCGGATAAGGATAGATCTAAGAGATTTGGAGATGTCTCAGAAGAGAGTACAATCAGTCTAAATAGACGAGCAACTCGCAGAGTCGCACCGAGAGAGAATTTTGTGAGAGCCAGAAGACACAGAACATATGGCTATGTTGTAGGCTATTCAACCAATAATAACGCCCCACGCCCACTGTCACAGGTGACTCGTTCGTCGCGCCATTAAGGGGGACCCCGTGCCTTAATACGGTGTCAACATGCGTGTCATGGGTGGGCTTTGCATGTATTTTGTAAGGGGATCGCCAATGGCGTTATTATAATTTTTTAGTATAAATTTTTATTATTTTGATGTTTTCTATTGTCATTCCCCCAAAAGCTTAGCGTACTCTTTGAGGGGAGGTAGGTAGTCGAGTGAGTCATGAGCATGTAAAGGTTAAGCATGAGATCCCCTCGACACCGAATTGTGTGCTTATGCTTGCCATCTATTAATGCAATACAAGTAGCTTTTTTCTAATTCATGTGCCATCTCTATTGCCTTTTCTTGTGCTGTTGCTTGTTTAGGTTTACTCGTCGCATTCAAGTGCCGCACGGGGTCCCAACGACTAGCCCCGTGACAGTTGGTATCAGAGCAGGAGTTCCTACACACACTCTGGACCTTGTCTTTGTCCCTACATCAACACAATGAAGAGCAACCGTGGCATTGTCAATGACACACCACATGGGCAGCTCCAAGCCCACGACACTGATGAAGCTCCACTTGACGAACCTACCAAGACACAAGCCCCGAAGGGCCGCACAACTAAAGCTAGCAAGCACAACAAACCAGTCGACCAACTAGCTACCGTGGACATGTGCCTCCTACGTTGTGAGGTGACAGTGGGAGAAACCCGAGATCGGGTTGATGAACTCCACCTCAACCTAGAGACGGTTGAGAATGYAGTGGTGGAACTAGAAGGACGTTTCAATGGCGCCTTCAGAGACATGCACACCACCATACAGGATTCGGGAGTTGGGCCTTCCCAAAGTAGCCAACAGGGCTTGCTAGACAGATTTCAAGCGCAATTGGATGAGATGAGAGATGAGATGACACTCCTAAAGAGGGCGGTGGCCAACGCACCTAGCACTATGTCCACCCTAGCTTCCATGAACATCAAGATCCAAGAGCCAACACCTTACTCGGGTGCTCGGGATGCTAGGGAGCTTGACAATTCCTTGTGGCAATTGGAGCAATATTTCTCCGCCACTAGCATCATTGACAACCAAACTCAGGTACGTACAACTGCTATGTATTTGACTGATATCGCAATGTTATGGTGGCGTAGGTGTTGCCAAGACATTGAATGTGGAACCCGCATCATCGACACCTGGGTTGGATTCAAGCGTGAGATCAAGCGGCAATTCTACCCATAAAATATTGAGTACATGGTGCGCCGAAGAATGAAGAATCTTAGACATCAAGAATCACTGCATGACTATGTCAAGGAGTTTTCGGCCTTGACATTGGAGATCTCTGACATGTCGGACAAGGATCTCCTGTTCAATTTCATGGATGGTCTCAAGCCATGGGCTGAGCTCGAACTCCAGCGACGCGTGGTTGAGGACCTCGCCACCGCTATGGTTGTAGCTGAGCAGCTTGTTGATCTGAGAACACCTAAGGAAGATGTGCAAAGACCATCCAGCCCAGGTACCATGAGTCTGAGTGGGGGAGATCCACAATCAACCYCTAYAAAGGAGAAGCCAGTGCCYGCRGACAAGCCCTACAATTACCAACAAGGGAAGAAGCCACAAGGAGGCCCAAGCTATTAGGGCCACCAAGTCACTAGGAGACCTCCTTTTGCACCTTGTTACCTTTGCAATGGGAAGCATTGGGTGAGTGACTGTCCAACCCGAAAGAAAATAACTGCCCTCATTGCCAAACTCAGCGATAGTGAAGAGAGYGATGAGGAGAAACCCACAGCGGTGCCAAGAGTAGGTGCCCTCCAGCTCATCAACGCCATGGTCAAGAAAGATGCCACATCCAAGCGGCCCACCAAAGCCCACAAGGGGCTGARTTATGTAGACATCACCCTCGGCGGGAGGCCCACCCAAGCCTTGGTGGACACTGGGGCCACCCACAACTTCATTTCGCTTGCAGAGGTAAAGTGACTTGGCTTAACCACCACCAAACAAACTGGGTGGGTCAAGGCTGTCAACTCCGGGGCCAAAGCAGTAGAG